CTCCACAGGGGGTTTCTGATTTAAGAACGCAGCAAGCTGTCAATACCTATATACTAATGTATAAGCATAAGGTAGTCCCTTAGAAAATGCAGATTTACAAAATCTTCTGAAAGATTTTAAATACCACATCTATCTTGCATGCTGTATACCATAAACCCACTACAAGTGTAATTATACATAATTAGTTGTGTGTTTGTAAACCCAACAGCTTAATCATGTTTAATTAACCACATTGTAATTGGAATATTCGATAGTTAAATGTTGTCTTGCTAAACTGATGAACACCTGGAACACGCAATTACTTTCACCACCAATAAATTAACTTTAACTAAAATCTGTCATTAGTAATTAATTCCCTTCCTTCCCGGTAGACCACTAGGATTAGAGATAATAAATAGCCAAATCAGATCCATAGCAATTTGTTAAGACCACAACTGCAGGAGCCCTCCTGCTGCCAGTTTTACTTTTCTCTAATATATTCTTCAGCAGAGATTACTAACCACTGCATAAGTCATTGCTTTCCCTTGGCTTTTTATTTCCAAAACTCATTTTTATCAGGGGCTTGGTTGTTTGCAGTGGCAGGGGGGGCACAGGGGGAATGGTTGGCTTTATTTTAAGAAGTACCAGGTCAAATTTTCCAAGTTAGCTCCAGGTGAAGAGCAGGGAGAAAGGCTCACCCCCTCTCTCAGATGTCTCACAGAGGGTTTGGCTGCTGGTTTTCCAACAGGTCTTAGCACAAGCAAAAAGTGGGCACACACTGAGGGATTTTCTTCAAACAGGCATTTGGAGCCATTTGCTTACCCATTTCAAGGCACACAGACACATAAAAAATGGGAGGCCTTGGAAAAGCGTCTACTCAGAAAACTAACTGCAACATTTTCAGAAGAAGAGAAACCAGACAATACAAAACAAGTGGCATTAAACTGCATGGTGTATCTGAGGGTCAAGCACTTCTATTCACTGTCATTATTCCCTATCATTGGCATCTGTTGTGGAACCAAGAGGCAGCAAATCTAAAACGAGGAAAGGAAATAAACACAATGCAGTGACAGACTGCTCAACTGTCACATCACAGCCTTGAAATCACAGGATCAGGAGGCCTTAAAAAAGGGTATTTGTACAGACAACAACATACACCATCATAAGGATTTAATAATGGTTTGAAGCTGATGACACACCTCTGGAGCTGCAGCTGCTACAGGGAGCTGGTTTGCTGCTCCCAGGCTTCTTGCAGCAAACCCAGAGCCAGCTCTCACTGAATATTGACACCAACATCTATAAACCTGACCAACGATGAGATACGGGACAGGGAAAAGAAAGAGCAATTTCTTTCAACACGGATGTATCTGGAGCAGCTTCATTTTGTGTGAACAGATTCTGGTTTCCTTAGGTGAGCCAGAAATATATGGCAGTCTCTTTTTTTCCTTTGCACATTGGCACAGAGAAATGAGAATTCAGTCAGGCCCTACATCACTGTGGATAGGATAGGAGGGAATAGGCAGAGGTGGAAAATTATGTTAGGCTGTGACAAACAAGAAATGAGGTGTTGCAGATGCAGAATCTCTTTGAGTTAGAAAACCCCCACATAATCACCAGTTCTTCACAGGGCCTTTCAACAGCAATGTTGGCAGTACTGATACCTGGCAGACAAACATCAGTATAGAAATTTTCAGCCCAAGTGACTGAAAAAATTACTAGGAGTTGGCCAGTCAATTCAACTTACCAGTTATTAGCATGACCAGGTTACTATTCCATGCCACACACAAAGTTTGCCCGTAGCTGTACATCTGTCCACTATTTTCATAGATTCAACTCTAATGGAAGGAATGCATCTCCCAAAATTGTCTCTAGGAAATTTTACATCTCCTGTAGCAAGTGATAAAACAAAAGATGAACTTGCAAATGAACTGCTGGTAATGCACGGCATGGAAAAAGAATCAGCTCTCTTGCATGCTGTAATACATGATACAGGTACTTGCCTCAAGCAAACTGAAAACTGAATGGCAGAACAAGCTGATAGTGCGAAAAGTTTACCTCCTCCTTTCTCTACTGCTTAGCTGCAAGAGCGTTAGTCAGCAGAGCCAAGGATTATTTGTACTTCACTCAGATTAAAAAGGATAAATGCTAAAAATGAATCCATAGCCTTCACTTCAAGCAGTAACACACAGTGCTTCAATAAAGGAGGAAACAGCTTTGATGAAACATCAATTGGGATAACAAAAAAGATCACTGAGATGAGATTGACATGAACATTGGGCAAAATTTGCTTTTAGGAAAAAGGAACTCAAGCCCTGCCTTTACACCTGACCTGATTTTTAGCATGGTGTATGTGGGGAGAGGGGATGTATAATGGGCTGGTGACAAAAGAAAGCAGAGGATATTTGCCAGCCAGGAAAATGTAGATTGAGCTGAATCTCTGACGTTTCTCCAGGATGAGCCAGCCACCAGGAGGGCTGTGGAACAACAGAATGTGCAACAAAATACAAAAGATAGCATGAACTGAAGGAGTGATGGAAAAATAATTTTCCATTACCCTCCAGTAATTTTTCCATTACTTTTCCACTGATATTCTTCCTCTGACAAGGGGGAAACTAGGGCTTAAGCAAACCCAACCAAAAATTAAAGGATAAATATTGCCCAATGACAGGCAAATGACATTAAAACATAGGTGGCATAAATGAATATTGAAGCTTTGCCTCTGATCAGCACTCTTAGCACCCAATTCAGGAAAAAACCCCAGCATTCCCTGGGGAAAATTACAGCAATATTAAAGGTGAAACACAGGAGTGAAAGCTGAAATCAGTTCAGACTTTCTTTCTGGGCAACCTGTGAATATCACAGATGTATTTAAGGACAGCCAATATTTGGGTTTTTGTTAATACCTTGAGATTTGAAGCTGAAACATGAAAAAATACAGAAAGCAGCAGAATGTTTATTCCAGCATTTCTCAAATGCTGGAATAAGCACTTAAAATCAGTTTAAAAACAGATAAAAAAGAAAAGCAATTTCACAACCTACTGCTAAAGCACTGAAGACATAGTTCTAACACAAACAGATGAACAGTGCAGATGTAACATTACAATCACATTTCCACACATGAATAAAGCAGAGGGGGAGAGTCAAAATTGGTATTTAAGGATGGAGATTGTGACCTATTGTGTATAATTAAGCCATTTGAATTAATTCAGCTCCCTTTGTTCTTTTTACAGAAAAGTGGAAAAGCAACAGATAATGGTCCCACATTGAGTAAAGAATTAGGGTATTCCCCCCCCAAAAAATGCTTTGTCTTCATTAAACATAATGAGAAAAAGAGTTGCTCTACATGAAGAACTTCAAGTTGTACAAAGTCAAAGTTTTAAGAACAGATAACTACTCCAAAAAAAACCTCCAGTTATTTGACCAAAATGCTGCTTTTTCCAATTTGCTGTGACAAATACAGTAAGGATGACATACCTTATAAGATGTAATGCACTGGTTATATTAGTCCAACAAAGTATTTCCAATTATTTCCTTATTTCTAAACATAGAATTGGAAAAACAATTTTTTTCCCTCCAAATACTATCTTTTTATATAGCAATAGCAAAATGCAGTGAGGATATTTAAAGTAAAATGGTAAAGAAGGTGTTAAATTGAAGGGAAATTGTATGAAGCAAAAACAGAAGTTGATGTTTCAGTCCATATTTATTTTTTTTTTTTGTATCTTGGAGACAAAGTACCAAACCAGCTTCCACACCGGCCTAGCCTCCTAAAAAGAGCTCAAGGTACCATGAGTCATGCCAGGGCTGCTGGAAAGATCATTAACACCTCTGGGGACACACAGCTTTATGGTCATCAATCCACCACATTCACAGAAGGCAAAGAATTCACTAATTCCAGGTCAAATAAAGCAGAAATAGCCATGTTCAAAATGCAAATTATCTTTGTTTCCTATTTTTCACATAACATTGAATAAAAGGAAGAGGAAAAACACACTGATGCAGTGCAGGAGGGAGAAATACAGTCCCACCACATGGTGGTACCTTTACAGTCCTTCTGTTCCAGAGTCTTGGCTCTGCTTTGGGAATACAACTTTATAACGTTCTATTTCTTATTAAATTTTATTTCCTCTAATAAAAAAATTGAAGTCAACAGTAGCAAAACTTGGTCTTTACCATATCCCTGCTGACCCAATTATCCTTTGAAGAGGTACAATCAGTCACTATGGTTACAAGTGTTAATGCAATGGAAGTTGTTAATATTAGTCAAGGGAAAAAAACCCACAAACTTCATTCTAATCCTCATGAAAGCAAATTAATAAATAAATTATCAGAAGATGAGAGTTTGGAGCACCTTCCATAGGCTGTTCGTCATCAAGCTTCATCCCTGGAAGTTAAGGAAATGCACTTGTTGTCAACCCGTATGTCAAATTATCTAAACATTGTTCTGATACCAACTGATCTTCACCTCTTGGGGTCCTGACCAGACTCCTGGAAAAGCACACGTGGGCACAGCACAGATTTTGGTGTGTGTAAAAATGCACACACACTTCCAAAGTCAAATTATTCTTTAACTATGGAACTTCTCAAAATACACTGACCCAGCAGTAACCTTAAACAGTTATCAACACATTAGATAAAGGGCCAAAATCAAAACAATACAAGTATTCCTCAAAAAGGCCTGGGTAAACATCCTGGGAAAAGCAGCACTCATAATACAGATACTAAAATAATTGTCTTTCAATAACAAAATTGTGTTTGCCATTAAAAATCCCTGTAAAATTTGTGATGCACCTATTCCAATATAAATATAGTAACTCTTAACCAAACACCATTCCCTTACAGGAAGAATTTCCCACTGATATGTCAAATATATGGGATTATATATTACTACACATATTATACAATATATAACTCAGGCTCAATAATTTCTCATTCCACATGTACAGCTAGAACTTTTACACAAACTTTTAGACTAAAGTTATTAAGGTCTAGCTGTACATGTGGAATGAGAAATTATCTAATAACCTTTGTCAAAAAGGTTACTCATTCTCTCCTTTAAATGCAACTCTTCAAGTCCCAAAAATTTTTCCAATATTCCAGTATTATATTTCATTTAACGCATCTTCTCCAACAAAAACTTGCTTTCTCCCACAACAGAATCCATTTATTCTCCTTTCAGGTCTCCTGCTCAGATTTCTTATCATTAAACATAAGGCCAACAACCCACACAGATCTTTGGTCTCTTCACACTGTGAGGTATACACTGCAGTCTAGAGGCAAAAAACCTGTAGAGAAAATTAGCATATACAGGATGCTTCTCCTTCTCATGTTCCCAGCTTGACAGAATATATGAGGCCACCTAAATTTTAAATTATACACCACTTCAATTACAACATCATAGCTTCATCTGAAGCTAGCAATTACGTCTTGTAAAATAAATTAGTACTTCACTTCAAGAAGCTGTAGAGAAGTCCAAACCTCTGAAGTGGGCTTTTGTTAAGTCATTAAATTAAGGCACAGATTTGTCAGCTCTTTTCTCACAAGCTTTGATCAACTCCTTCCATCTTCTCCATGTGCCTCCACACAGAGCTGTTCAACATGCTACAAACAGCATTATACATGAGTCCTGGAGTGTTTGCTGTCACACACAGGGAGCAGCACTTTGCCCTTCAGCTGTTACAGCACCTTCTCAATGGAGGCTTCATTTTCCACCAGACAGGCCTCAAACTCAAGTGTTTTCTTCTAACTGCTTTGCCTGTCAGAAAGAAGCAAAATAATTACTGAAAAACGTTTTACATATATTTTCCTTGTCCTATGTTATAGCCTACTATCAAAGATGCAAACCAGAATTCATTGATTTTTTTAACCATTAGAAGTGAAGAGGTATTTGTAAAGCTCAGAAGCTGTTGGGGTTTTTTCCATTTCAACTGAATGTGGTATTACTCTGTATTAGGCATAAAAAGAGAGCAGAATAGTGTGTGTAGCACAATTAAACTGATTAAGCACAATAATTACCAGATAATTAACAAGATAGCCTAGAAAGAAAAAACATAAGAAAACCACATATTCTTTTACTACTACACTAAGCCTGCTAAATTCTGAGATAACAACTCCTTTCTTAGAGAAATCCCCCCTACCCCTCCCTTTTAAAACTAATTCTTCTGGGAAATCATTCCCAAACTGAGGGGATTTATTCTACATTTTCTATTCTATTACCTGTTGAATCAAACAAAAATTTCATTTCCCACTTCAGAAGTTTCATTTAGTGCATATCAACAACAGGAAAACACTTTAAATGGCTTTAACCCGGAGACTAATGAAGGATAAAACACTTCCTCAGATATGTTAATAGTAGATTACATTCCACTATAAACATGACAAAAAGGCACAATCCAATATATGAGAAACATGCTTAGTTGTTTTCCTGTAAAAGCACAGGAATGTTACTGAATGTATTGTGGCTGATTATTTCAGACCGCCTTTCTGAAATCTGTTTTCCTTTAAAGAAACAGAATCATATTCATTTATACATAATGTAAGACCTACAGATGAATGTTGTTGAGCCTTTTCATCCTTAAAGAGCCAAGGAATAAACTTTATTTCCACTGAATGCAGGAGAAGGATGGCTTTAAAAACTTCATGCACATATTTGTTAATTCACAGTCTGACCAAGATGCAGATCAGCCACAGTTCACATAAGACAAAGGGGAAAATAATGCAAAGGTATAATAATTTAAAAAATAATAATAATTACTCTGCCTCTTCATTTTTAAGCACTTGGTATCTGGGACTCTGGAGGTCTTCAGTGCTCTCAGCAATTGGCTTATTTAGTGTTTCTGGCAGAAGCAGAGTCAGGAATCCCGCAGACAGTCCAGTGATTCCGAACACCACAAACGGCACAGAAGGACTGAGAGATTTCTGGAATTAAAAACCCATAGAAAAAAAACAGCATTCTTGCCTGCTCTCAAAAAGCACAAACTGCAGTCAAGACCAAAAGACTACAACTTGTCACTCTGGCAGTTTGTGCAATTATCCATATTCTGGTGGAGCAGAGAAACCCAATAAATGCCATTTCACAGACACGGCTTCATATGCAAGCTTTGTTTACATGTCTAAGAGCACTCAGATACTGAGCGAGCTTTAGCAGTACCAAATGCATTACATGACAACCATTTCACTAACAGATGAAACAGTGACAGAACACAGAACATTAGATTATTTCCAAAAACAGTAAAATACTAGGTATTTTTAAGCATTGTTCACTCATTATTGAAATCAGGTGAACGCTATTTAATTTTTCATAAAACCAATATTTCTTCTAAGGAACACAGGTGGACACGATACCAAAATCAGTAAAGTGCTTTTGAGAGAATTTAAATAAATCTTGAGTTACATAAAAAAGTTGAAAATAATCTTACCATAGATGGCACAAATGGAGCCAAAATGCCCCCAAATCTGCAAGACATGGAGCAGACACCCAAGCCAGCATTTCTGTTTTGAACAAAGGATGCAAGATATGTACTTTCAGAATACACAACTGAATCATGCACGAACACATGGTGGCAGTGTCCAAGCCAACTTACATATATATTTTTTTTAAAAAGTTATCGGTAAACTTGAATTTAAATAAAGTTTTTAAAGACCTCCAGTGGTTACTCCGAAGACTTTCCTCAATGGGGTGCAGGTAAGGTAAAATCACACCTAACACTCACAAAACCATCCTGTTGTGCAATCAATCCTTCAAACAATCAACAAAGAGAGAGGTTTTCCCACCTGTCCCCTAGGGCAATTTAACTGGGAATCCCTGAAGGGGGAATGATTTCAAAATGTGGCAGATCTTCAGAGAGAAGATGCTGAATGTTATCTCCAGCTCAGGCTGGAGCAGCCTCAGGCAGCAGCCTCTCATCTGCCACCTCAGGGTGCACAGATGAAAAGTCAGTGTTTAGCTCCAAACAGAAAATAATTCTGCCAGTGAGAAGCTTGAAAACATCTGGCCAGATGTCAGTACAGGGGCCACTGAATTCTGCGCTCCCTTCAATTTTCAGACAAGTTTAAAATAATCTCATCCAGACTATGATAATCATGGCTTAGAACAGCAGGATCCTCTTCAAAAAAAGTTTAAAAGTCTTCAGAGTCATTTCCTGACAAATTGCAAGAAAACTTACATCTCTGTATCATTCCCAAATACAGGATTTAACAGCCCTTCAGAGATGGGTGTTGGCACCAGCCATCAGTGAGATGGTAACAACAAGGTCATAGCGGCTCAAGTTCTCTCTGCATCTCTTGGTTGCTTCCTCTCATTCACCATCATCCTCAGTCTCCTGCTGAGCTGTTCCTGCTCACCCTTTTCCTTCTCCAAAGACAGGAAGGCAGTGATAGGATTACGGATGACGAGCAGGGTGGTGACACGGGTCACTGGTATCCCAACATCACCCACCTGCATGGCCCTTCCTAATGGCCCTTCGCCAGGTGAAGGGAAAAAGGTGGAAGGAGCTGATGAGAGGCCAGTGACTTTGGAGTACAATAAACAGAAAAAGCAACCTTTTCTCTCATCAGGTCCTCTTGGGAAAAGGAAAATAGCAACTCATGTTCCCTCACTTTTATACCACAATAACCCACACCCTACAAGACAAGGCCAAGCACCTCTCTTGTCAACAAAATCCCTGCATGATGGGACACATCAGTCTGTGTGTGAACCATCCCTTTGGAAGCATCCCTCCCACAGACCCCAAGCCTGTCCATACCCAGAGGTTTGCAGGCTTCTTAATTTTCTGCTGAGATGGAATTTGCTAAAACGTGATCCTGAATGCAAATTGTATCATTTCCATTCCAATGTAAAATGAAAGTAGTTATTAAAAGACCTTAGGATAGGTTCCCCACTGTGAAAATAATCAAATAGCTTAATAACTACTGAAAATAAGAAAAAAAAAAAGCTATCCTAGGCAGTCCAATGGCCCCACTCTGATTTCACCCAAGATATACAAGGATGTCATCATTTTGCAACCACTTTCACATGAAAAAAAACCCCCATGAGTTTTTACATCTATATTACTGGAGCTATGATTACAATTTGTTCCCAAAGATAAAGTTCCCCTTTGTCCAAAATGCAACAGCAGTGAAATATTCTATTTTAAACTTTTTTTTATTATTCCCCAGGAGGTATTTTAAGGGCACATCAAAAAGGAAAAAAGCCCCAAGCCCGAAGACTGCCCCAGCCTGCAGCACTGCCCTATTTGTACCATGAGGTGTATTTGTCACTGCTGCACGTACCAGTTAACCCAAAATAGAGGCCTAGCAGTCCTCATACTTAAAGGAGTAAGTTTAAATACAGAGCAGTAACACTGAAGACATTTTCCTGCAAAACATCCAACTGAAAAAAAAAAAAAAAGGCAAACAAATAGTTTCTCCCACCTTCCCTGCCTTTGAATCATCCCAGGGCTGATGCCAGGAGCACTACCAAGCTTTGCAGAGACCACCAGATGGTGCTGATGTTTTGCTCTAAATTTAACATCACTTCTCTTGCAGAAACTGCAATATTTGCAATTAAAAGTGTCAGACATATGAAATGTTTTTAAATGTATAAATTTTCACGTCAGGAATGTTCATATGGTTTAATGTGTCAGTTTGTCACATTATTAAACATGACTGGTCTAATAAAAGTTGCTATTTTTTTTTAACTGTGTTTCTCCTTGCATTTTCTCCACCGGTGGTCTGTGAATTTGACATACAAAGTACTTTTTTTGCCAGAACATTAGTCCAGATTCTCAAATAAAGCAGCACTTGATTTTTTTTTTTTTAATATTGCTAATGACAAATACTTAGGTTCATACACACGGAGATGCTGCTGTAATTCCTGCTAGGTATGAGCTGCCACACACTTGGCACCAAACATCAACAGGACTTAAGGAGACACTGTAGCACGAAAACACAGCAAAACAAGCAGAAGCTGACAAATTAAAAACATTTTCAGATTTAATTTTCTTGATTCTTAACTCCTGAAAAGTGGAGGGGACAGGGAAACAAACAAACAAGAATCGAACATGCTCAAAAAAAAGAAAAAAAAAAGAGAAAAACAAAGAAGGGCTGAAGTTTGGATGGGGAGAATGCAAACAACCCCCCACATCCAACTGCAGTCAGCATGCTTGGGACTTGCACATTCAACCTAAACCTGTGCCAAGAACCACAAGCTCAGTATCTTCAGTCACTCCACTTCCATCCTCATCAGTGGTACTGCCCAAGCTGCATCCACAGTCCAGCTTTTATGCCTCCCTAACATGGTAATTTATGAACCTCGGTTTGTTTTTTCATTTCCCCTCAACGCTGTGGATAAAAGTGATTTGTGTCATCATCCTAACTAACTACAGCCACATCTACCAGCTGGGACACCTGCCTACTCCACATCAGCTTTCAACTTTCCTGCTCTCTCTAAACTGGGCCCAGGTTTTTGAGTACATTTGCAGTTGCCGTTCTTAATCAACTCATGCAATTCGGCTCCAAGTCTTACCACGTACTTAGAGCACATCCAGAAAATCACACAGGGCCAACATGGGGTGAGAAGAGCAACACTGTGTATTATGTTTTCCTATCTCAGATTTATCTTGGGACAACAGGAGAGTAACTGCACAGAGAGTTGGTAAGAACTATGAAAAATAAATTTGGGGGTTTAGCTTTACACCATTAATTAAATGGTGGAGAGCAAATGACTGTCATATAGATACTATTAAAATGGGCTGCATTATAAATACTTAATTAAATAACAAAGATATAGAAAAGCACTTGTTTTCCAGCAGGCAAACAAAGTCATATGGGAGATGTAAGTACTCAGAAGAGCTGTAAGGAGTCCTTACTGCACAGTCTGCATTTATTATTAAGTTAGCACATACTTCCATTACATTGTTGTGTTTGGGTTTGCACCCTGTAATTGTACTCCCAAAAATCCACAGTAGAAATGATAAACATGTCACCAAGCACTGCAGCACAAGAAGCTGGTTTTCACGGTTTTGTTCTGGATTCAGACCTAGAGCAAGTTTCCCCAAACAGCCTGGAGAAGTGCATTGGTGCAAAACATGTGACCGCTTGGAGAAGCCCTTCCCAGCCCTGGCAAGCTGCCTTACTTACAGAAACAACTCACGTTGTTATTTCAGGTAAAAATAATTACAGATAAATACTAAAGCACACCAGCAAACCCGAGAATGGAAAACAATTTCATTTACCCAGAAGCTCTGTCAAATTACCTCAGTACTGTTGGGTACAGCTCAGATGTATAAATATACAGGATGTTGAAAGCAGCACTGACCATCATTTTTCCACATAGAGCTAACATCGTGGGACCCAGGAGGAGACCTTTCAGGAAAGAGAAGACAAGATGCAAGCATGAACAGTCTCTTTTCTTATTCTTTTTTACACAAATATCTAGTCCTCGTTTGGAAACTGTCACAAAAAACAATGTTTAACCCGTACATTTCTCAACTACAAGCACAAAAGCAGTATCTCAGCTCCTCCCAACCAAGCTGGTTTCCTAAGGTAGCTTAAGAAAATTGTATTTAGGACAAAGGAAATCAGACCCTTTTTGTTTGTTTGTTTAGAAACTGTTGAACTATCACTTGTCTAAAGGAAGGGCTGCTGCTGCCAGCTCTGCAGTCAGAACATCTTCCCAGGTAACTGTGTCCTTTGATAAGCACAGACCCTCCTTGACTAATTTATTAGATTAAAACCATGAAACTTGATTCACCTCAACGGTTTATTTGCTCCCCAAGGGCGCCCTGCTGGGACTTAAAATTGTGACAGCTCTGTAATTGGAAAGAACAAATGCTAATGCAGCCTAGTTTACTGAGAAACAGAGTTTAAGTGGCTAAACTGAAATGTGCATCTTTTAGAGTCCAAAGGAAACTTGGCTTTCATTAATGTGATTTTGGTTATGGTTATGTTTGCATTGTGTGTTTTAATAAAAAGAGAATTTAATATTTTCTTTAGCATGAAAGAAGAACAAATGTTCTGATTAGCTGTATTTCAGGTTACCTTCCTTAGCACTGAGTTTAGCATTTTTGATTTGGATCAAATGATGTTTATTAAGTCATGGGAAACACTGATTTCTTCTCAATTGCTTTTCTTTTGTTTTGACCATGAGTATTTTCAGTATAATCCATCTGAGCCAGTCAGATTCTATTTCAACTGATGAAGAAATTCATCTGTATGTAAACTGAAATCTAGAAACTTGATTTAATTTTTTTAAGTCCGATGCATTTTTGCACTTACTTCTGTAATTCATGCAAAACAGATGCAACATTTTCACCCAAGTTCTCCTTTTACTTAGGAAGAACTGGAATATTACACACAGTTGCCAGATGGAAAGGTGTGAAGCTGGTCCTCCTGGTGCCACTATGTAGATTCACCCTCTGTCACTTGCCCTCATGAGTAAAAGTTCACTTGAGCATGATTTTGGAAACTAAAGGGGTCTATAAACTTGCTTCAGACAAAAGTACCCACCAGGAAAGGGTTGTTCTCAACACAAAATACCCAACATTAACAAGAGCTGAGGTAAAATCAATTTAAAGAACTGCAAATTCTCTGTCCTGCTGCAGTGGAAAGCATATCGAGCAAAGCCACAAAAAGGTACTATGCCTTGAGCACAAACAGATAAATCTCAATGAAAGCTAAAATCCAGTTACCCCTAGACTGGGAGTCTCCTTTGCTTGCTGCAGGATAAAGCAGACACAAAATGCAGATGTCTTTCTGTTTACAGCTTTCGAAAGAAAATAGTATTACAGCTCCATTGCCCCTCCACTGCCACGCTCCCTCACCATCTTCCAGTCTGATACACAAACTAATGGATGAATTTTAAGTGATAAGGAAAGAGGGAGCTGAGGGATATATCAGTCTTAACCACTGGCAGAATTTTAGTCTCCAATTCAGTACACATCTTTAATATCAGAAATGCTCTTGGCTTATTACACAGGGGAAATTACTCGGATCAGATTCTCATTCACAAGTTAGCAGAGTTCTTTAGAATCAAGCAAAGGTTACAAACATGAGAGCCAAGTGCCCAACATCTCATTAAAATCTTAAGTCCCTTGTAATAAAATCAAGGACTTTATCAATCACTCAGAAGAACAGAGACTTAGACAAATGTAATAGTACTGGGAGAGTCAGACTGGAGCTGCAGCAATCCCTGTTTCATCCACAGTGACTCATCCTCATCATGCTTGGAACCAAAGTTGTTTCTTCTGAACTGACACAGATTACTCTGGGCCAAGAGCCAGCTTTACCCTCACCACAGTGTCAAGTCAGATGTTCTAATGGCATTAAAGACAAATCTTCCTGTAAATAAGGAACTCTTCAGGAATTATTATCCTCTCCCAATGAGCCCCTACTGCTTTTCTATCATTTTGTGTTAAAATTTATAAAATGAAGCACAAAGAGTAAACCTGTTAGAATAAAGGAAGACACTGTCTCAATAAAAGGGGCAACAAAACATCTGAGGACTTGAATTAATACAAGCTGGCATATTAGATTATGAGACATTTTCACTTTGTCTGCTTTTCTTCCTGAGCCTTTTCTCAGATCAATTAGAACTGGATGCCAGACAGCATTTATATCTGTTAAGGATAAACAGCCTATGGAAGACCACCTTGGGATCACATGGCTGGTGCTTTTAAGTCAGAACACTGTTTAGGTTGAAGCATTTCTACTGAAGGGATGTTAAGAAAAGCACAAGCAGAGAGCAGCCACTTCTACTTGTTAGTGTCACACAGACCTAAGTGTTTTCAGTAGCTAAAATAAAAACTAGCACAGAAAAAAACGTACTTGAAATGGAAATAAAAAAGACAAAACCCAACATTTTGTGAATGCCACTGACAATGTATGAAAAAAACACATCTTTTGAGAAGAGAAATATATTTGATGACACACCACTGTTACCAGGAACTGTCCTCACAAGTGCATAACACAGCAATACCCAGCTGAGTCTGACAAAGGCAGCAAGCTCCTTGCCATCCCTATGGCTTCCATTCTGCAATTCTGACTTCCTTTTCTAATTCTCAAGTACAAAAGTGTTTCTTTTAAGCTTTTTCACAGCTTGGGTGTTTTTTAATGATAAATCGAACTTCTAATTCTGGAAAATGTCAGGTTTTTTATTTCTATAAATATCACGTGCCACCAAAACCAGTGTAAAATTAAGCTTGGCATCTCACACTGCCAGGATCCAAACTAGGATTACACTGCACAGTGGTCTGGCTATGAAATCCAGTACTTTAGGGTGAACTGTTTAACAGTGATCAATGAATGCAGGGTCAGTATGTGAGACAGAATGGGACAGCTTGGGCTGGCCTTCAAAGAGCCAATGGCTTACAGTCAGTCAGACTTAGGCAATTAACACAGTCAAATTATGCCTGCAAGCACTTAAAAGGAATATAGACAAGCCCCTGGCTCCCTCACCAGCCTCGAAAAGAGAAGAGAGGGGTGTAAATGGACAGGTCATTAGGCCCTCCTACACTGGGTCACACAGTGTCCATGAAGCTGTTTTGTCAGCTTTTATCCAAACTTCTGCTTAGCCAGCAGCACACACTTACCAGCATTTGTTGGTAAAAACATGGAAAACACACAGGCAAGTCCTGCAAATGTCAGAAAACACGTCATAGTTTTACGTCTTCCAGACCTGGAAGGGAAAGAGCACCCGGGTAAAGATGGAACTAAGGCCCTGCAGTCTTTTTTAGTTTGTCTATAAATTACCAGAGTACTGAATTACACAGCAGCATAAGTAACAGTTCTAAATCTCTTGGGCCTTGGTCAGTGCTTCAAATTTGGTGGATTTTTGCCACTGACCTCAGTGAGACCAAAGTATCATTACAAAGACACTGATCATGAGGGTTACATGAAACCCTGAGGAGCCCTGGGTTGTCAGACTTTTTGGGCTTTGGGAAAAAGCACCCACACAAAGCATGGCCTCCAAACACACTGAAAAGTATGAAAATACACAGACATGGATCATCCATGCCTTTCTGAAAATTCATCAGCTCTCACTTCAAAGTTCTCTTAGAAAAGATTAAGTAACAATGAACAACACTGAAAACTGCTTTCAACTGCAGCTGGGCACTACAAACCCATGTTATTCTTAAAAAAAATATGTAAGAGAGATATATAACCTATAGATACTTAAATAACTAGGCTATTCACTTCTTTCCATAAAGACCAAACTTTTTTAATAACATTAATCACTGAAGAGCTTATCTCTGGAGTAATGTGAGATCTGAACAAAACTAAAGAAGTAAAGATGTAGAAAACCAGTCTCATTTCTATATCAAGCACAGAAACTCCTACAGCAGAGTAAATCCTCAAAGAACCACCACTGGTTAAAAAGACAGTGAAGTATGTGACCGAGAAAAATGTTAATATTTTTCTAGGATTTCTACAAATATATGCAGAGAACCAGGAAATAAGTTTTTCTTACCAGGATTTCTCAATAAAAAACATGCAGAGAGGAAATGCTGGAACTTCTACAAGACCAGAAAGAGCCACGTTTAAATACAGATTTCCTCTTAATTCACCAGCATTTAAAGTTAGTCCATAGTACACAAAGCTGCAGACATACCTAAAAGCAACCAGAAAAGTTGTATTATTAACAGAACTAGTCTTTAGGGCTAAGAAAGCATTTAAAAGGTAAATTATGCCTAGTTATGGATTAGCTACATTGAGGTACATGGTAGGAAGAGAACTCTCCCTTCAGATGTTTCTGGGAAGGTTTCTCCTTAGCAGATGCTCCTCCCACATCCTGCACGTCTCTGCTTACCACACACATCAAACTACTGATTTTTCTCATTCACATCCAGCCAGTCATCTCAGATGAACTGAACTTTAAAAGGGAAACCTGTCCTTGGAATTTTGGAAGAGCTGCCCCTGCAACAGTTTTTTAGCTCAAGTCAAAGAGGAAGAGCTTCTGCTGTAACAACCAACCCAGCACCCTCCCTGCCCAGAGGTTCTCTCTGCACTGCCAGTAACTGCTCACAGATTATGTCATGTCCTCCTGCAGGATCATTTTTTTTCCTTCCCAAGTTGTACCACTTTTCAAGACAGCACCTAATATAAATCTGTGCAACCTGTCTTTTTGCTCACAATTTTCCTCCACTCAACCTATGAAATGTAATTTTGGCCTCTTTACGCTTCTTCTTAATCCAGACCTCTGTGGCTGCCTGATCCGTGCAGCCCTTTTCTTCCCAAGACTGGTGCAAACACACATCCTCTCAGTAATTTCTGCTTCAGCTTCTCATTTCACTCTATCTAAATATTATGTTCTTACTGGATTATTTCTTAGTAGGTTTTGAAGCAGTTTCTAAGTAACACACTGAGAATAAAACACAACAGCAACAATAACGAAACACCAGCCTTGCAACACAGGATTATCACTTCACAGGATTATTGTCTATCATCAACTGACATTTATGACACACTGATGTGCTTTTCAAGGACAACAGTTTTAGAGAACAGGATGAAAATGTTCATTACTTCATGTCTGATTCACCCCCAACACCTCAGCACGCTGCTGTTACCCACCAGATGTACATCAGAAGGATGGTTCGCCACCGAAGGACCGGCTGTTGCACCAAGTTCAGGATTCCAGATGACGACTCAGCCTTCCTCAGAGTTCCTGCACTGGGTTTCAATTTAAGATTTAATCTCTCTTTTCCATTACCAAGGGCAATATATTGCAACACATATTCAGCTTCTGCTGTTTTCCCTTGGGCGTAGAGCCACCGTGGAGATTCCGGGAGCATGCTAACAGGAGGGAGCAGAAAAGCAACAAGGACAACTTCATTCGCTGCTCTAAAGTTAATCTCATCGTTTTGCAAATCAATACTTGTTAAAAAATACCAATACAAAATTCAAAGGAACACAATCTCGTTGCACTGTTCTGCATATTCAGTTCCAGGCAGCCTGGTGGTAATACAGTTAAACCTTACAGATAGATAACTTTGAGATGCCCCACAAAGCACTCAGTGAGTGTTTACATCTAAAGAGTTTACATCTAAATCTTGACTGTTGCTGAACTGACTTCTTAGGCAATGCTATGACAGCATGGTCAAGGAAGCATCTCAGGCCTCGTTATCTGAACATCCTGGACAAAACCTGGTTTTCACAAAGCTTATTTCAAGCTTCTCCACTACGGGAATGGCTCCAAGTTGCAGCAAAGAGAAAAGGAAAGAAACCTTACTGAGGAATTAACTGTCAGGCTCCAGTACCAGCTCATCACTGCTCATATAAGTTTTATATCTCTTATTCCCACGCATAATCAGAATATCCTGGCTCTCCACAGCTTCAGTTCATAATTCCAGCTTTTCTTTTTCCTCTGTGGCAGCTTTTATATGAGCCATAAAATCAGGAAGGGAATATTTTTAACTGAACATTTATTTTCTCTGGTACTCTTAACAGATATATACATCCTACAACCAAACTAAACTTTCATTACTTCAGAGGATCCCAGTATGGAGTTCGCTTTTTGCTTTTTGGGGGATTTTTTGTTTGGTTTTACGCCGGAGTACGGAATGAGGGAAAACCCGGACTGGATTTCTACCGGAGCACGGAATGAATTAAAAAAAAAAAAAAAAAAAAGGACTTGATGATCTCAGAGGTCCTTTCCAACACGGCTGATTCTATGATTCTATTTTTAGTTTTTGGGGAAGTAATTCTACTGCATCAGAAACAGAACACTACAGAGGAAAATGCACCATGCAGAACTTCCTTCCACTGCCTGCAGTTCTTTTTCCTTGACTACAGGAAGAGAGGTGGGGTTTTTTAACTGTATTCCTTAACAGAACTTCTTTTAAGAGCAGATCTATCTAAAAAATAATGGAAATCAGAAGAGCTTTTTCCCATCTGTGCCATGTGCTAGACGTTCCTTGTATTAATGTGCAGGTAACCTACTACACTCCTTTATTTCTTCTAGAGCTTTAACTAGTGACCGGGAGTATACAGGGTGATTACTTGATATGCTGAGAGAACATTTTCTAAGAAGACAGCCCAGACAAAGCTAGCACCTAATTCCTTAAATACTGATGCATTTTATAATCATTATTTTGATCACACCAGTGTGGGAATTCTAAATAGGAGCACCCAAGCACAGCAGAGCTAGGAATAGACACAAGGAACCTCAAAAGCAAGCAGATACACAGCACATCACGCTAAAAAGGCAATTCCTAGTGCTCTCACTTAGTTGCCTTTGCACGCATGTGTCTCAGTGGAGAGGAACTCTACATTCGCATCCCAAGCTCTGAAGCCCTGCCTTGGCAGAAGGCAGCGTTCCCGTCCCTGGCAGATGCTCCAGCTCACAGCCTCTGGCAGGCCTTCCCTTCCCTTCCCTTCCCTTCCCTTCCC